TGTTGGATCAAGCTCCTTTATACTATTATCTTTTAAGTATAGTTCATGTAATTCTACCAGTTTATAAAATTCATGTGGTAACTTTTCTAATGTATTATGTGATAAATTTAATACTTTCAATTTTTTTAAGTTTCCTATTGCAGCAGGTAACTCTTGTAATAAATTATTGTGTAACTATAAAAATGACTAAATTTTATAATACACTATTTTCGTATGCAGTTATTTAATATATGCAATTATACCTAATATATTATAATAAATGCAATGCTTACAAGTAATGTAGTCAATTCTGCTAAACATTCTATTTGTGGATCAATTGTAGTTAAGCTATTATAACTTAAATCCAATATCTTGAGAGGCTCCAGTTCCCACCATCTCTCACCTTCGTGTGTATAATCAAGTTCGAAATGTAAATTCTTCACCTCTTCCTCAGTTAATTCATCTATACTCCATACTCTATTAGGTACTATAATAAGTTTTGCCAGTCTTAATATATTGTAATTAATACATAAATATGACCATAATTATGCATTACACATAAGAATTATACAACAATGACTCACCTTATGCATATACCTGTATGTAACGATCTTGTATGATATCAAAACTATTACTTGTTCTATTGCATTATTCACATTCAAACATGCAAAGCTATCTATGAATCAAAATAAAAAAAAATAATTTTATGATAATAACTAAATCATACTTTATTCAATAAATGGGTGCAGACAATAAAGGAAAGTAATGATTCTTATAAATAATACTTTTTCATAATTAAATTAAAAAATGAAATGTAGCTGAAAAGCGTTAAGCTAATGTGTAAATTTGACATTATGTAACATGATTGATTTGGGTGTTTAAATTACCCAAAACCCATTCAATAAAATGACATTTTACATTTTACTTATTTAAAAAAAATGATGTGATACGAGCGACAACATTTTATTTTATCATTATTGAACGTTTCGTATAATCATAAATACAAAAATAATGTAATCGATGAATCATAGAAACTACAACGCCATACACATATGAACAGAAGCATGCACATTAGCTCATTTATCAATGCAACATTGGGGGTTCAAGCATCTGAACGATTTCAATATCTAAATAACAGTTGAATAACATTTATTCCATTTTTAAATAATGCGAATACCAGTAAATAGTCCTCTCGACGAGAGGTTTAAATTTCCAGTCTTTCTCGCGGATACAATAATAATTTCAGATAGTTCGGCATTATCGTCATTTTTCGTTCGTTGCTTAAACACTGCTAAATGATTAATTTTTTTCTTAACGTCACTCATGTTGCACTTATTGCGCACATTGTTTACAGATTGATATCCTCGATACGGGATGCCTTAATGAAAAATGCTCCCCCACTTTACATGTAATGACACGTAATATCTCTACGTATATATTGACAGAATCATCGATGTAAATATTCAATTGGATTGAGTACTTTTGCTATACTTATCGCTTTTCTTTGTTTCAAATAACAGAAAATTTATAAACAAATATGTAATTATTATAGTTAATGTGTATTATATGAATTTAATTACTGTATACATAGTAACATACATATGTATATATATTTATTTTACAACAATGACATAACGAATAAAACATTACGTGATTGATCAATTGAATGACGAATGAAACAATTATTATTTATAAATTGTAATAAAAGAAATTAGAAAGTTACGATACAAGATGTGTTTATAGGAATTTTACGATAAAATGTTGCCGCCAGTGCGTAGTATATCATATGCGGGCGGAATCGATCCATTTGTGTGGGAGTGTGAAAACGAGTGTAAAGTCGAAACAATTGTTAAATTACCGCAATATACAAAAAAGAAATTTTCTGAACTTTCTACTTTGGTTAAAATTGTGTACAATTTGGAAATATCGAAAAGATTTTTTAAAAACGTTTTAAATGTGTAACCTAAAGAAATATTCACTATGCGCCGCTGAAATTTTTTAAATTATTATTCCCCCTACTTCCAATAGTGATATAATATTTGTTTCTAAATATTTAATTAACTAGTGAAATATTAATTACTTATTAGGATGAATACGATTTTGTTGAATTCTGTCATGTTAAAAAAATATATTTTTTTACTTATATTTTTGTTGAGTCAAGTTAATAGTGAACAAGAAGATCATGCACATGCCATACAATTGTCATGTTCTACATTCCTTGGTATGTTTTTTTTACGTTTCATATATTATATATGAAAATTATATTTACAATCAGATATATGTCATTAATGGGTTATACAATTGTTATAATACAAAAGTTTTTCATTTCATTAGGTGTAGACACTGTCAAAAATTGTTACCTACATGGGAACAATTAGCAGAAATATCAAATAAAGAGGATAATAATATCATAATTGCAAAAGTAGATTGTACCAGTGATATCAGTTTATGTAATTTACACGATGTTACTGATTATCCTACGTATGTATAATAAAAATTTAGCAAACTAAATTTATAAGAAAATAAACTTTAGTGTTTTTCATTTTATAGGCTGAAATTTTTTAAAGCTGGAAAAGAGGAAGGCAGTACATACAGAGATACAAAGGACTTATCTTTACATTCCTTAATTTCTTATCTTACTGAACAAATAGGTACTAATCTTGGGGTAATTATCAAAAATACTTTTGTTATCTTATGGTATATAGCAGCATGCAATTTATTTAATTATTTTTAAATGTTTCTAAAATTAGGAAGATGATATTATACCATTACCTCCTAAACCAATAAATGGTTTACTGGAATTAACAGAGGACACTTTTGATAAACATGTATCTACTGGTTACCATTTTGTAAAATTTTATGCACCTTGGTGTGGCCACTGCCAAAAGTTAGCTCCTATCTGGGAAGAATTAGCTAATAGCTTGAGTAATAATAATTTTGTTAGTATTTCTAAAATAGATTGTACACAACACCGTAGTGTTTGTGGACAATTTGACATAAAGGGATACCCAACACTGCTTTGGATTGAAGATGGGAAGAAGGTAACATATAAATACTGTTTGCATCTACCTTTCCACAAATTCCTTAAAGACAAATTTTGAAAATACACGAGAATGATTCTATAGGTGGATAAATATACTGGACAACGTACTCATGAAGATCTGAAAGCTTACACATCAAAAATGCTTGGAAAAGAAAATGATCAAGTTAACATTAAGACTGATAATTCAGACAATACAGCTTATGCTGTGTTAAGTTTAACTGGAGGAAGCTTTAAATATGGTATCGAAAATGGTATTTCGTTTGTTAAATTTTTTGCACCTTGGTGTGGGCATTGCAAACGTTTAGCTCCTATTTGGAAAGATCTTGGAAAAAAATTTTTGACGAACGATAATGTGAATATAGTCAACGTAGACTGTACTCTGAATATAAGTAGAGATCTGTGCAATGAACAAGAAGTAGATGGTTTTCCAACTCTATACTTATATCGCGATGGACATAAAGTTTCTGAATACAATGGTGCTCGTAATTTAGACGATCTTTACGAATTTGTAATGAATCATGTAAAACCGCATGATGAACTATGATTATACATATTTTTCTCATAACTAATCTAATTTTAAAGCAATAGCGGTAACTTAAGCTGTTTTTAGCTATAAACCTGTAATACTTAATTTAATTATACTTAACTGTACGAAATATCACACAAAAAACCCCAAAGTATCCAGGCCATATATTTTTCATTTTTGTATAAAATATCAAAAGAAAAATATTACAAGACTATTACATTTTTGCGTGAATACGAACTGTGTACTTCCGAAATATATTTATAAAATTATCCGTACTTGATATATTTCTATTAAGCACCACTCCTTAAAAATCTTAAATGTTTAAGAGTTGTTAGATAGTCGCAGGATAAAATGAACGCAGTAACTGTCCACGTTGTTTATCTATATACAATGTTTTACGCTTCACCATTATTTCCCGTTCAAGATCACTTCTCGCTTTTACCAAACCAGCTTGAGTCTCCTCGGCCCGCTTCAACTCTGCTAGCATAGCAGATGTCCGTTCATTAAGTAATTTAACTTCTTGCATAAGTCTAAATAAATCACACGTTCAGATAAATTTAACGTAGAATGACAAACACATAACTAGTTGTTTAGTTATTTCTGTTGACATGCAAGGTAATTGCACGATTAGATAGTAAGTACTTTGATAAAGTACTTACGCAAATTGGGGAGTATCGCGACAACTGTCCACATTGCGACGCTGTAATCTATTCGCTAATCGTGTTTGTGCTACTTTCATGGCATAATCCATTCCCCTTGCCGATTGACGAAGCTCTTCTATTGATTTTTCGGTGTTTGCAAGTTCGTGTAAACACTAAAATAATTTTTTTTATTATAATGACACAATTATACTGAATGAGTTACTGGAAAAACTTACACGAAGCAATTCTTTTTCTAACTGCAGACGTACGTCTTCTGTAAGTTTAATCTTTTGACCTAGAACAAGATCTACGCGGGTCGCTTGATCACGAAGATCTTTAATAGAATTTTTATATATAGAATCTAAAGTGGTTCTTAAATTTACGGATCTTTGTCTAGTTGCTTCCGCATCAGTCAGACTTTCTCGTGTGTAATGTTCGTAACTCGAAGGTGTTGATTGTCTGTTAAATAAATTAATAATTTAGAGAAATATCAATGTCTGATCTAACTAGGCGGATAAGTGTCTGATAAATAATTTAATAATTACTCTGCTGGAAATCTTGTAGCTCCAGGTTTCCATAATATGATGGAAGAATTATTTTTCAATTGCATACATTCCGAATCGATGGAGTAAGCATCAGTTTTATCAGTCCAATCTACTTCCATTCTTACTTTCGCGGCCTTTAGTTCAAATAATTGCAATTCGATTTGCTCTCGTGTCCTACCTAACAAGTCACGTATCTCTGAGCAAAGTGCTACCTCCTACAATAATTATCACATGTGTAATAACAGATACGTATTATTATTGCAAACGCTGAAATAAAGTGATAAAAACTTTCGTAAGCTCCTCTTCAACTTCGTCTCGGATGAGGTCAGATTCTAAACGTTTCGATCGCAAATGCAAGAATTCGCCAGCGATAGATTCTGGAACCGTGAGAACCGACAAAGTTTGCTTTACACGTCGAAGTTCACCTTCTAACAATTCTATTTCTTCGGTGATCTTAAGTATCAAATGTTCCAATTCGGTTTTCCAACGGTTCACCTCGTTGGCTCGATTTCTCAAATGATCCGTCGATTCCAGTTGTATCTTGTCCGCTTCTCTATATGATCGTTCGACGCATCGTTTTGCATTATTTACAGCAAGCCTAAAATATCATTATTCTTATTAATAATTACAGTTTTGAAAAGTGAAGCATTACGTGGATTTAGATTTGCAAATTTATTTCCGTACTGAGCTTCTCGAATTTTTTCATTTGACTGTTTAAAAAATTTCTCGTTATTAGCTCTCCATTCGGGTGCTCCAGAGCCGGTAACAGAGTATCGATCTACAACTGGTCTGACTCCTGTCAAACCATCTTTTGGAGTAAACGTTACACGACCTGTTGCCCATGGACCAATCGCGTCCATCTGTTCTGCTGGCTGTGCTGGAAGCTCATCTCCTGCTTGTGGAAAATAAGCAGGTGGTTCTCCGCTCGTCTCAGTGGGTTCCATCCTTGGACAAGGCTACGTAAAATTTGTTGAAAGAAGTTTGAAGAAATTGTTTCAAATCACATTCGAAAATTTAATTCAACAAAATTTACCGTCTCGTTATTAACTCCATCGTTTAGTGAATCTTCTAAAAGTTCTCTCGTAGGCTCTTCAACAATCATGTTAAACGTTCATTCAATAAATCGATAAAAACTAAATTTATTAAAACTTTACTTAGAACAACTATAACATTTGTATATTTCTTGAAAGTACGCAAAAACGAATTTCAATTTCGATAACAAATCATTTTTATAACGCAATAGCTTCACTGTTAGGGAGGAATACGAAATTTATCGATTTAACACACGGCAACGAAATATTCTTTTTTACCCGAAAAAATATGTGTTTCTTGTTAATGATTTAAACAAAGATCATTGGAAGGTTATTGAAAACATAAAACAGATGAATAATTACGTATTTTTAATTTTGGAAACTATTTCTGAAGTGAATAAAATTAATATATTTTCTCATAAAAAGAGTTCTGAGGATATTAAAGAAACAGATGTATTAGATAAATCTACTCGATAATATTGCGCATTTATATCATATAAGAAAATGGGACATTTTAGCCAATGGTAAATGTCAGATTATTTTCAAATTTTAACCACATTAAAGCGATCAAGTTGTTTGACTTATTCATGGTAGAAAATTTAATATTTGCAATATAAGAGAAAATTGATATATGTATATACAGGGTGGTCCACGCAACGTGTGCACCGTTATAACTTCCAAAATATGCGTTGCACGAAAGAATGTTATATACAAAAGTTACATGGTTTAAAAGGGTGCACTATGTAGTGCGTTAATTTTTTTTATAGGTGGAGGCGTTTCGGAGATTTGAAGGTTAACTTTGTTTTTTTAAACAGAATACTATATTTTTGATACCAAAATATGGTAGAGTATCGAATTGTAAGTAAAAAAGTATTGACCGTTATTAGCCCTAAACCTAATAGCTAACGAGTAATTTCACTTTATTACTTGAAAATTTTCTTCACGTAATATCAAGTTGGAGATTTGTGATATAAGGTTGAATCTCCAACTTGATATTACGTCAATCAAGGTTTTTGAGAGGTAAACTAACTACGCCGCTCAAAAGTTTGCAGTTATTGTTTAAGTACTTCTTTTAACTCTCTATGCTAAGTTAAATCTATTGAATTACGACGACACACACCTATATGGATGCACATAAATTATTTTTTATCACGCTTATTCAAATCAATGCTATCGTAAGAGAAAAGACGAGGAGAGAGAATTGTTGAAAAGAGAAAGACAGATTACGTTACAGTTGTAGTATGCTTCTGAAGATTAAGAAATGTCCGCTTACATGCATATTGCATCCGGCTGTTAAACTACTACCACCAGTGGAGAAATGTTCTGGCCTGGCCAGTGATGCCAGAATCGTGGGCGCTGGGCTCCGTACTATGACCTATCGCCTTATATTTAATCGTCTGTTTCAGATAAACCGAATTATTTGTTGACAGAACGTTGAAGCGAGCACAGTAGCGAAAATGATGCACAAAGTTCCAGATATCAAATACACTCAGGTATTAGATTATTCAATTATATTTCAATTAATATTTACGAAATTAGATTTAAATTCCAAGTAAGTTTCATGGAAATTATATGCAGTCTATTATTTATTGTGACATTAATGTTGTATGAATTTTCAGTTATTTATTAATAATGAATTTGTGGATGCAGTAAGTGGTAAAAGATTTCCTACTATAAATCCAGCTACTGGTACTGTTATTGCAGAAGTCTCTGCAGGTGACAAGGTAAATTACACAGATTGCTGCATTGTAATTTCATAGTTCTTATGTTATGCAAAATTTTTTTACAGTACATTATTTGAAACATGTACTTTATGTTATATAGGCAGATGTAGACAAGGCAGTTGCTGCTGCAAAGCAAGCATTCAGTAGAGGATCAACATGGCGAAATATGGATGCATCAGCTCGTGGAAAGTGTATGAACAAAGTATGTTATTTATTGTATAACTTTGATATTTTCAAGAAAGTGTACAAAATGGAATTATTTTTATACTTTTGTACTTCACTAGTATAATACTTGTACACATGTAGTTTGCAGATCTCGTTGCACGAGACTCAGAATATATTGCCACTCTTGAAACTTTTGATAATGGAAAAACATTTGCAAATGCAGTGTTTGATATAGAAGCAAGCATAGAAGTAATTCGTTATTATGCTGGGTGGTGTGATAAAATTGTTGGAGAAACTATTCCAGCAGGTATAGTCAAGATACATATGTATTTGATAGGTGTGGTCCATAAGTATTTATCGAAAATTCTTATTGTTTAGATGGAAATCTTGTATCATTTACACGCAAGGAACCAGTTGGTGTAGTGGGTCAAATTATTCCTTGGAATTATCCGTTTCTTATGTTGGCATGGAAATGGGGTCCAGCTTTGGCTACTGGATGTACTATTATTTTGAAACCAGCTGAACAAACTCCCTTAAGTGCACTTCATGCTGCAGCACTTATTAAAGAAGCTGGATTTCCTCCTGGTGTTGTGAATGTTATTACTGGATATGGTCCAACAGCTGGTGCAGCTATTGCTAAACATCCAGAAGTTTCTAAAATTGCATTCACTGGATCTACACAGGTATCTAATTGATATTATTAATCGTTATAATTATACATAAAATTGTATTAAAATTGTATATGTTGGTTATAGGTTGGTCATTTAATAATGGCAGCTTCTGCCGCGAGCAATCTGAAACGTGTTAGTCTTGAATTGGGTGGCAAGAGTCCATTAGTTGTCTTTGATGATGTTGATGGTATGTTGATAAGATACTTAATGAAGTATTAACACGTCTACATTATAAAATAACTAATAAACGTATGTAATTTCTAGTTAAAGAAGCTGCCGAAATTGCTTACAATGCAATATTTACAAATCATGGACAAAACTGCTGTGCCGGTTCACGTACTTTCGTGCACGCTAAAATCTATGATCAATTTGTTACTCATGCTAAGCAATTAGCATTAAAAACAAAAGTCGGCGATCCTTTCGATCCTGTGACCCAACAGGGACCACAAGTTGATCAAGATATGTTTGATAAAGTTTTAGGTTTAATTAAGTCAGGGCAAGAAGAAGGTGCAGTGCTGGAAGCTGGTGGAGAACGTCAAGGCAAAGTTGGTTACTTTGTAAAGGTATAATTTTTTGATTCAGTACGTTTTTGCATCATTCAAATAATGGTTTGGCAAATTATTTGAATTTTAATTTAAGCCCACTGTCTTTTCAAATGTGACTGATGATATGAGAATCGCAAAAGAGGAAATATTTGGACCTGTTCAATCTATTTTGAAATTTGAAACAATGGATGAAGTTATCGAACGTGCAAACAATACAAATTATGGCTTGGCCTCTGGTATTCTTACTAAAGATATTGATAAAGCTTTGGTCTTTGCACAAGCAATACAAGCTGGAAGTGTTTGGTAAGAGTTTCGTATTTGTGTGTGTGTGTGTGTATATATTCGTAAAATATATGAAAAATTCGCTAAAGTAAATTTGATTATTGAATAGGATAAATTGCTATGACGCTATTACACCCCAAACTCCGTTCGGTGGATTCAAACTATCAGGAATAGGTCGTGAATTGTAAGTTTATCATTATTTATATAAGACAATGAAAAGAAGTATTATAAATGTATATTTTTATATTTTAGGGGTTCAGAAGGATTAAAGGAATATCTCGAGACCAAAACAATATCTATTAAAGTGCCGACACGTAATTGAGAATAATCTGCACAAACAATTGTAATTCATGTTAATCAAATTTTTTAATAACAATTCAGATGTTACATTTATTAAAGCAACATTTTACATTTTACTAATGAACTAATGTATCAGATGGTAGGTTGTAAACTTTGCAATATGATCGCAATTTTACATTTAGATTAAATACAGTAAGGCTTGAGATACATATCAAAGTTCAAGGAATTTTTTGCGCAAAGAAATTTACTCTTATATTTTAATCTGCTGGAATTCCCAATTCTTCATCTGACCAATCTGCTGGACGTGGAAATGGAAAGTGACCCTAAATGTATGAAATATAAAATATGAACAAATTTAAGAATTTTGCAATAAAATGGTACATTAAATGGTAAAACTTATGGATTTAATTGTATCATCTATTATAGAAAGTTAGGTACATTAAAATAGATTCTATAACAATAAACATTAATTATGTTACTTACAGTAATATGGGCAGACTCATGCCAGAAGTTCCAGAAAACCCACCACCACATCAGTCCACCTAAAAAATCAGCGACAAATGTCCATCCTTTGCGAGGTTCAGGTACCATACGGTAGCACCAGCTAATAAAATATCGTATATTTTCATATAAAGTTTTTGTTAAACTATCAATGCAACGTATATATCGAAAATTTGTAATATATAAACCTAACCTTTTTACAAGGAAGGTTATGTAATGTACGTACAAACTTACTTTGCATCGTGCGATTGTCTTATAATTGTTATGACATGTTTGTTCACATTAAGAGGACGGGCCGCCTTCAAAATTGTTGCACCGCGTGACAACAACATTTTTTTCAACGAATATGTTCCTATTTAACGACGAGCTTGACGTCGAACTTCTTGTTACGGAACGACCCCTACCAACAACAAAAGTAAACTGAAAGCAAAAAGCAATAGACATTTAGAAGGATCAAATACTATTGCATCGAGCGAATCAATATGAATATAATGGGTATTTTCAACACTTAATAAATTGTACTGCGACGAATTTTAGTTACGAATAGAATGCATTTTCATTGAAATTCATGGATAAATTACATTCGTGTTTTCTATTATACATTTCCTTTTTCCAACGTATAATTTTGTTCGACAAAACGGTCAATTCCGTACTTTCTTTCGTAACGAACCTGCCCCTCGTCTGTCCCCATTCGTGCCCGTCTTTTTATGAGATTAATTTAAGACAACTTAACATTTGATGAAAGTCATTCAAGTATATCAGCTGCGAGATACTCGCCATTACGTATGAAACGAGCGGGCTTCAAAAAGCGAGGGGTTCCCGCAGTTGGGGTGCGAGTAAGTCCACTCTCATTGGTCCGTCAGAGAGTTTACGATTTGCAATGAGCCACCTGGTTCCCGGTAGCAACCCCTGAGGAACACACGTCATTGGTCCTTGCATCGTAACATCTCCCCATCGCGTGCCCTAATAAGGATTTTTATAGTGGTCGTCGACCAATATCTTTTGCCGGCAAAAGGCGAACTTCCATGTACGTGGATTCGTTACAATATTCATGCATAAAATATGTCTATATGTAATATATTTTTGAACAACGCTTTGCAAATATTATTATTATTTTTTTAATTATTTTCTTTTCCTTATACC